GACCGGTCTTTGAAGGCCTAGCAGCAGCATTCATGGTGATATTCGGAATCAGCATCGTCGACTACCTATAGTCCACTCGGTTTCGTTGAAAAAGCGATTTATCAGTTGGGGTACTTCCCTCGTCAGTACGAACTTTTTTCATGGCTAAGTTCGTCGTCATTCGTAGCACGTAACTTATAACGCTACTAAAATGGGAGAAAAGTGAACTTACAGTGTTGATCAAGTTGCAGACTAGACCTTTTGTAATGGTTTCGTTTTTAGAATCTAATGTCAAAAGCTACAATTCCTTCTCTTACAACCTTTGCCACTCAGCCGTCAACTCAAATAAGAAAATCTTCGAGACAAGATGCACTATATTTTTTGTTGAAAATTGCCAGTGATGAATACAAATCAGTACCACAATCAGATTGTTTAGTTGATGATGAAACTGGTTTAGTGCCATACAAAAATAAAAACAATCTTAAGTTTATTGAAACCGGTGTGTATTTTTTTGAGCAGTAACTAACTACACCGAAAAAAACTGGCATTTTGTGTTTGATTTAGGTACAAAAAAAAAGTGTGATAGAAAGAAAAAAAAACTGTTGAATATGTCGTCTACATTTATTTATGATGGAAATGATAGTCTAAAAGAAAACGTTGAACAACAACAACAGCAACAGCAGAAACTCAAAGGTGAGATAACTCAGTTCTCACAAATTGCATTTTCATTAGTCTTTTTTTATCTCGTTGCTTTTTCAGTAAAAAAAGTTCGTCCGAAACCTGGAACCGCAACGAGAGCAAATGAAAAGAAAACAAAAAAAGTAATCCTACGTTACAATCTGTTTTTAGTGAGTAGAACGAAATAGAAAAACGAAATTTCGGAAAAAGGGTACTTCATATGCCAAAACGGCACTTTTCTGCAGAATTTCTGTCAGAAGTTTTTTTCCCAAAACGTTTTTCAACGTATTGCTAGAAAGTTTTTGACTCTTACTCCGAAAAACAATTGACGAAATCAATTCTAAAAACGTAAAAACTGTGTTAAGTAATTGCACTTTCCCTGGTTCTCTTTAGCTGTAGAACCAGAACCAGTTACTGTTTCCACAAAGACGACGTCTGAAGTGCCATTGCAAGCGATATTCTATTACAACAATTGACTGCTCTATCTCCATTACAAAACAATGTATTAGATCAACCAAGTTCACGTCACGATTTACCTCTTTTAGAACCACCATCATCAGACCCATCACAGCAACAAACTCGTGTCCTAAACCGTCCTGTTCCACTACGAAACTCTTCTCTAATCAGTCAAGTTTTACCAACTTCACCACATCCACCACAACATATGTCAACTCCTTCATTGTCTTCACAGATTAGTAGTAGTAATTTTGCTCCTTTGGCTGCCTCCTCTCAACATAATTTTACAAGTATTCAACGTCCATCTAATTCACAGGGTGTATCAGTAAGAAAAAGGCCGGCACCAAGTAATCAAACAACGTCTTCGACTTCACAGCCAACAGCAAAACATACGAAAGTATATGAAAATGAACAAGTGAAAGAGAATTTCTTAAAGAGTGAGTATAAATGTGTTAAAGAAATTCTATCACATTATTCGTCTGCCAAGAACATAATAATAACTTAAAATAGACTTACAGTTTTCGTTTGTTGTTTTGCTTCAAAGTGGTTAAGTGTAGTTTAACATGATCTGTATTTTTCTTTTAATAGGTATTGAAAAACTTCGACAAAAGAAACTAGAACCGATCGAATCTCAGCTAATGAATTGACTTTGAAAGTAACTACTATTGAAAATGTTTTACAAACAACGCAGTCTAATCTCAGTAGTGTCACTCCTTCAATTAAGAATATTAGAAAAAATTTGATTACTGTAAAACAAGTAAGTTTTGATAGATACACACTGGAGAATAAGATTTTCACGTTCCGAGTCGGTAGATGTCAAACTCCTCAAAACAAAAAAAAGCGTTAGAAATGAAGCAAATCGCTGAAAATATCTTTTAAAAGTGAGAGAAAGTGAAATAGGTTTTGTGCAAACTTAAAGCTACTTTCACAAAAACTGTCACAGGTGACGCTTTTTAATTTTTTGAGACAGACTGGTTTTTTGCCCACGTCGGTCCCTGTATATGCTGGTTTTGTCCAGATCTTAACATTTCCAATCTCGAAAAAGTTTTTTTCATCATCGTTCCATGTCTGAATGCAAAAATAACAAGGCGTGAGTTGGTCTGAGGTGAAAAGAGTTTGTTTACTCCTTAGTGAAGAATACGATGGATGTTCCATGTTTTATCACATGCTCTGCTTTGGATAAAAATTTTTAGCTCGCCCAACACCCTTAAAATTGTCTTTATACTAGCACTTGAGCGCCCAGCGGCGAAGATCAAGAAAATTATATACTCCATGCCGAAGGCATCCGTTTTTTAGCGTAGTGTGAGATTTGTATATTTGAAGGTTTTTTTATACAAATTTTCGAGTTTTGACTGGAAATATACGCAAAGTCAGAGAGGAGAACAATGCACACGAGACGAAAGTGTTAAATACGGTCCTCCTGGTAATAATGCACCTGAGACGGGACAATCAGCGAACGATACCAGCGGGTTTCTTGCTAACGATGTACCAAAAAATTCGATTTTAGTGAGTTTCTACTTTTTTGTCGTTGTTTGCTTTGTTGTTTAAAATGTTCTTGGCACAGCAACAACGGCACCGCTTCCAGTGCAAAAAAAGTTGACATACGTAAGTCAGAATTGAAATTCTTTGCTTTCTGCTGGTTTAAAAGAAATAATTGTTGAGAAGTGACGGTTGAAAATTTTATTATCTTGTTTCTAACGTCTTTTAGAGTCGTATAGAGTCTTTTGAGTGAATTCTCTCTTATCTCGAGTCTCTTTTCTTGTTAAAGTTGTTTCCTAACATAAAATACTTCCTTTTAAAAAATGAGTTGCGATTTATAAAAACCGAACAAAGTGGAAAAAGAGTCCGGGTAAGGACCACGCTTTCACGAAGCACGGTTTTTTAAAATTAAGTGGTGTTTTCTCGTCTGTCAAAAACTAAAATTTCCTACAAAAATGAATAGCCACTCTTTTCTCATCTTCAGAAGACTTTTGTTAAACAAATCAGGGTTAGACCTTCCCAAGTTCAGGTTTTGTTCAGAACTGATGAACTGTTCAAAACGCTATATTCAGCGAACTGAACTGGTCGAACAGTTCTTTTGAGCGAACTTAACGTTGTCTTTCAGCTGCTACACTGACATAGTCACACGGTGTGTTTTCCTGTGTTAGAACTTCACAGACGTCGCAGTCATTCAGAATGCTGTGGAGAGAATACTTTCGTAAGTTAAAAAGAGTGGAGCATACGGCTGGTCAATAGCAAACAAAGAGCGTGGCATTACTTTCTTCCACTCTTGTGAATGAATGTCTGAGCGTAACAGTATTCTAAAAACATCTATGAGAGAGTTGTGTTGAACGAGCAGAATAGGTTTCCTTCAGACAGACGCTTATCTTGTGAAAGTTTTTGTAGCGCATACTAATCATTTCTCGTGCGTTTTCTAGATGGTTTTACTATGTTCACACACAGATTCTCTATCAGCCATAGCGCATTACGAAAGCCTTACGTTTAACCGGGCTTTCGTGATGCTAGGGGTCTGGATGAAACCTGACCAATGAAAAGAAAATACCTATATGTATAACGACAGAGAGACAGATATATATATATAAAGAATCACCACCACAGTCGACGTTCAGTTCGCTCAAAAGAACTGTTCGATCAGTTCAGCTCGTTCAGAAAGAACTGTTCGAAAAGTTCAGCTCGCTCGAAAAGAACTTTTGAACAGTTCTTTCGCTCATTTGAACGGAGTTCGTGAACGTGAGCTGGTGAACCCCTAATCAAGGAGGAAGAATAATAAACCTATTTTTGTATTGCAACAATTTTCGATTTTCGCAAGACTCTTGATGAAATCGATTGACTAAAGTCCTTTTTGTTTAAGAACCAATTTCTGCTTGCCAATTAAAGCTTTCCAGTTTCATAGCCCTGAGACTCTTGATAATTTTTAATCAAAAATTCAGAATCGGCTCATCAAAATGAAAAACATGCTTGAGCTAATGAATTCACATTAGCTTTCGCGTTTACATTTCACTTGCGTTAGAAATATAAACTGTAAAAGTTATGAAGCTTTGTGCAGCATTTGTAAACCTGTACCCGGAAAACAGGAAAACCTATTACGGAAGATCGATTAAGCAGACCCGCAAGATATTGTGTAATCCAGGAGCGCCGGTTAAAAATAACGGGTGGCCATAAAGAAACGCACTCTTTTGTTTCTCCCATACTCCGTCAATTTTCATCCGATAGGACCAAGCTTTTTTTTAAAGATTTGCCATTTGATCCTTTGCAAGACTATATACAAACGTTTTTTGTAGGGCAAAAAATGGCAAAGTTACAAGATGAGAAGTAATGACTTCACAAAATGTCAACTTTCTAAGATAAAAACTAATTTTTTGATTTTCTCACTTTTAAGAGACAAGCTATACGAAAGAGCATAGAATTCTGCAGCAGAAACTTGTATGGAATAATTTTTGAATGCTACTTGGATTTAGAATCAGTAGATTTATTTTTCAGAGTTTTTCAAAAAAAAATGCCGTTTTTGCTTCGGGTTTTTGCACTCTTTGCAAAAATCTTCGTGACTCAGCCAAAAGTCGTCAGTTTTTCACAAATTATTTTTTGTTTTGAAGCCTGCGGTTCTAGCTATCACATGGGGTGTAATTAGGAAGCTATCCGACAGTATGTGTTACCTTTATGCACGTCAGAAAATAAACAACTACCGTATCCTGATGCTTTGAAAAACTTTTGATTTTACGGCACCAGACTCATTTCCATAGAATGTTTTGTAGTACATCAGAAGAAGCACACTTTAGTCTAGCAAAATAAATGAAACCAAAAAACTGGATGGAATTATAATGGTTCGAAAAACAACGAAAATAGTTTTGACGGATTGACTTAGAAAGTTGACATTTTGAGAGGCCATTATTTCTTATCTTATAACTTCGTCATTTTGTGCCCTACAAAAAACGTTTGTACATAGTCTTGCAGAGGATCAAACGGCGATTCTTCAAAAAAGAGTTCGATCTTGTCGGATGAAAATTGACGGAGTAGTGGGAAACACAAAAAAATACCTTAAATTTACTTTATGGCCCACCCATTAGTCCATTTTACGCGACCCTCTATTCGGAAAATTTTACTATTCATAAAAAAAATGACTGAATTCAGTCGCCTAACTAGAAAAATGCAGACGGTATGGTGCCACCGCACTCTTACTAAAGCAAATTTAGGGTGGTGTATGCTTTTGCCCAATCACATTTACTTACTCAAGCTCAAATGAAACCGCATTTTTTCGGTTTTTAGTTTGGTTTATATTTGACTGGCTGGAAACGCTCCGTGAACCACTGACTAAAGACAAATGACGTTTGCAACCCAAAAGACGGCATTTTTCACATTCTTTTTCAAGAGGCTGCGTTCTCTTAAAAGAAAACGCGTTTTAGCTTTTTTTTAATTGTATTTTTACTTATGAAACAAAATTTCTACAGCCCCTAAGATAGATATCTGTCATGTAAGTTAAGGGAGGAGTGACACCGACTCAGACACAAATTTCGATGCTAATTCCGCATCTGATTTCTTTATAGAAATCACAGTTAAAAAAAATTCGAGATTTTTTTGTTGAAAAGAAATTTTGAAGATTGCGAAACCGCGCACGTGTTTCAAGAACCGCGGTTCTGGAATAGATTCGAATACTTCGCGTTTCATGTATGTAAACCACGGTTATCGTAATAACTCATAAAAAAAAGCGGTTTTGTCATTTTCAACATGCAAAACGCGCGCATCTCCTATAAGAGAATGGTTTTTAAACCAGACGCATGCGCTGAAACGCATTTTTTTTATTCTTATAAGGTCAGGACCGTTTGTATTGTGTGCCACTCATAGAAAGCTATAAAACTGCGTAGCAAGAAATGTGGTTTTTTGTTGCTATTTTGCTAAAATCATGCTTTTTCGGTTTACACGTATGCTAAAATGAGAAACGAGTCAGTCATGGATCTAAACTGTTCTTCTCTACTTTTTCCGGTTGTTACGGCGAAGGTTCCTTATCGTACAGTATTGCTGTCACTCGCCATACAGTGGATTACGCGACTAGCTGTATGTTTGAAAAGAAAAGCTTAACTGTAAACCTGAATTAATTCAGAGAAAAATAAGCCTTCTCTACCATTAAATTTTTACCTGCTAGTCTCTGAAAGAGTTTATGCAATCGTATTCTTTCGTGCAAAAAAAGGTAATTTCTGCTTCTTTTTTTCTCTTTTGGTCCTTTCAAAGCTGTACAATGGCAAGAATACCTTACAGCATTTAAAAGGATTGACATGGATAACTAGTCTGGCAAGAAAAATACCTTGTTCAATATTCAAAAAACAAGAATTAGTACAATCGCTGCACACCCATGGAAACGGCGAACGTATAAATGTTATTAAAAGTTAGTGACTTTTAAGCTTTCATTTTTCTTCAGGTCTTCTTTGCAAGTGCTTTAACTGTAAGAATGATTTAAAGCTTGAAAAGTGAATAGTTATTTACTTTCCAGTTGTTCAAGGCGAATTCTATTACGAAATTCGTTCGTTCGACTGCAAAGGTATTTGCAGATAGAAAATCGAAACAACTTCTTCTTTCATACACATAATATCCCAGCAAAGGTTTAATGCCGAGTTGCACACCAATAAACGGCATTTTTTATACTCTACTTTCTAAAAGAATGCTGTTCTCATCCGTTTTTCTGTAATGCCTGAACGTTTAAGCGCAATTGATGGTCTCTGGGAGCGCTTAAACACACACATTGTGTTTTATCCAAAAAAAGCTTCAGAAAGCGTGTATTGCTAACGGAAAACGATCGTCTGGTTTACACGAAGGAGGAATCAAAGACCTATAACTCTGCAGAAACAATTGATAATGCCGTTTTGTAGCCACCAAAAACCGTCTTATAACGCACCACATTCCCTCGAACGCATTCTGTGTCATCGAAAAAAGCCTAAAAACGCGTTTGACTTATAGAGAAATGATTCAAAAACTAGTTTTAAGCTTCTCAAAAACGATTCAAATTTTTTAAATATAATATTTCTTTTTTTATTCTCAGATGCAGTCAAAGTGGCATTTCAATTGAATGATGAAAATTTTGAGATGAAGTGGGATGCTATTTACCATGCATTAGTTCAATTAAGACGTGATATTATAGCTAGTAAATGTATGAAATATGCTGATGAATCACAGACGGATAGTACAACAATGAATGACAATCAAGAAGAAGACGAACGACGTCAACAAGACGACGATGACGAGAACGAAGATGAGCAATCCATTTCTCTAGATCAACATCAAATTCAAAGCACTGAGAACTTAACTGATTTTAAAGATGAAGAGGACGGACAAAGTTAGAGGACAGATTTTTTTTCTTCATGCACATATTTTTCGAGGCGAGTGAGAGCATTTAAAGAAGGTTTTTTTGTTTATCTTGACTATGAGAAGGGAAGAGAGTGATTCTAGCCTTAGTTGGAAGTGCCTCTGTTTTAAATTTAAAACAGGCACGTTTTTGAGTTGTATTTTTTCGTACGTTTGTTGATAAATTTTCTTTCTTGAAGTTTCTTATTTGAACGTTTTCTCTTTACTTTTACCTTGTAAAAAAACAGAAGTTGGCAAGTTATTTTCTTTCTTATAATTGTCCTTTTTAGTACTGAATTAGACAGTACGGTACATGTTTTGCAGAAGGAGTATCGTCTTCGATCAGTACAGCGTTGAGAGAGTAGCATTTGTGTTTTTTCCGCGTTTTCTCAGGTGATCATTTTTTCAAAAGAACAGATAACTTGTTGTTTTTTGATACTTTGTATTTTGCGATTATTTTGTTGTATTACATGATATTTCTCACGTTTAAACCTTGTGTAATTGTTATTTTTGATTAATTTTGTTGTGTATAAACATAGATGTTGTTATAATGAACAAACATCAATAGATTTAGAAGGAAAAAAAGTGAATTTCAAGTAGGAGGCAGTAAACTGATACGGAAACTCACCGAAAAAAGTAGCATTCTAAACACTCTGGACTAGACAAAGAAAATCCTCTTTAGAAAACGAGTAAAATGGCGAGAATGAAAAAATTCGCTCCGTGAAAGTAGGACTCATGTAGCGATTATAGGAGTCACGTAGCGAGAACAGTCTGTCGCGCTGATTTTTTCCATAAAATGTAGTACTCATGTCGCGACACAGGGATTCCAATAGCGAGAATGAAGATTCGCTCTAGTTTAATGCATAGAAAGCGGGACTCATATAGCGAATTAGGGAGTCACGCCGCGAGTCTAGCGAAAGTATAGCAGAAATTCCATTTCATCGAGAATTTATAGCGATCGCGGTAAGAGCGTCACATTTAGCGACTAGACTGCTGTTCGCGTGACGCGTTCACGCGGTGACTTTTCACCGCGAGTCACGTCGCGATTTTTGCAAGATAGTTGACCTGGGTTACTTTGTTTTTTTAGAACATTGCCTAGATGTTGTGCTCCTCCGTCACAGATTTGATTTTTATCGAGATTCAATGTGGTGAGTGTCTGTGGAAAATAAGGAATGAATGGTTGAATAAGAGAGATTATATGTGGGTCGTGTTACTTCGTTTCGTTGCAGAGCAGTGGCTAGATATTGTGCTCCTCAGTCGCCGATTCGATTGCCGGAGATGTTCAGTGTGGTGAGAGTCTGCGGAAAATAGTGCGTGAATGCTTGAATAACAAGCAGGGAGGCGCTGGCCGTATTACTTTGTTTCATAGTACTCTCTGAAAAAAAGGCTCCATACTAAACCATTAAGGTTTCGTGTATTTTTTCGAAACTTTTAATGGTTTTGTAGTGAAATTTCGAAATTCAAAGGGTTTGTTAGACGGTACGAAACTCAAAACAAAATATTTTTCTACAAGGTTTTATACAGAGTATAAGAAAACCGACGAAGTGGTTTCGTAGCATTAAAGGTTTAGTAGAAATTTCACAAAACCTTACGAGTTTCGTATCGCATTAAACACTTCTTCGATGAAAGAAGAATATGTTGAAAAACCAATAAACAATTAGTAGCAGATATTTATTAGTCTTAAGATAGTTATCGAAAAGACGTTGTCTATTTGAAACACGCGATTTACGTGAATACCATTAGATGGAGCTATTTTTTCTCTGCTGTGATTGGACTAATACAGAAACCAATAAATGACAGAATGTGAAAGATGACTATTTTATTTCTTTGCTTTTTGCATGAACTATAGCCTACTTCATCGGGGAAAGTTAAATCTACTGTCTTCCCATACCATTCCTTCCTCGGTTAGTTAAACCAAGTTAGAAATGTACACACGATTTAAAAAAGGTTCAATAACGGTTAAGGATTGAGGAACATCTTTGAGAAAGCCGTGTGCCTTTTTTGCATAGCTGAGTGTACTTGCTTTATTATGTTTAACAAACATAATAAAGTACTGGAGGCAGGCAACTTGAAGTATTAATAATACTTCAGGTTTTATCATTTGCTGATCTCTCATAATTCACTCGTCACATGTGAATAAGAATTTAGTATGATGGGCTACTTGATGTCTGGTTAGCTGGCTCTATCAACTGAGAGTATTGGGTTATAGAAGTTCGGTTAAATAGCCAAGCTGGCAAGTTCCCAAACTGAATTGTTAGATTAGTATGACAAACTGAGTGTAGAAAAAAGAAATAGAGTTGCTTCTTTTTTATTTACAACTGATCTAAATCTGATGTACAACCGAGCACAATGACTCCGAGTGTATAACGAAATATGACCTATTCTTCCACTAGCTAATCACTTCCCTAGTCGAACATCTTGGAACCAAGTTCTTGACATCTTAGATTTTTTCGAAAAGATCTTGGCAAGATCTTTGGTATAGGATGTCAAGATATTTTTGTTCCTATAATCTTGCGTACAAAATCCTAAAAATTATCTTGTAACCAAGATCATGGCTCAGGATCTTTGATACAGAAATATTTTGACATCTTGTACCAAAGATCTTTGAGTAACCATTGGTTATCATTCACCGTCTTATTTTGGTGATGTCATCCTATATATGAACATTCTATTTGTGTCTAATGTTACTATGTTTTAGTCCACAGCAGAGTCAAAATTCCATCAGGGAGGCATTAGGGATCGTTCGTCCTAGCGGATGAAATGTTCACCACTGAGCGGTAAATTTCTTTTGTTCCCAACACTTGTTGAAAAAATGCAAAGAAAAAAAGTTAGTTTTGAAATATGACGATTTTTCAAATGTTCAAGATCCTGGGTACAAGATATTAAGAAATATCTGTACCCAAGGTCTTGCGTAAGGCCTTGGGTACAAAAATATCCTGAGATCTTGTACCCATTTTTTCAAGATCTAGTGCCAGATCTTAACGTAAGATCTTGGTTTCAAGATGTTGGACTAGGGTTCCACTCTCTTCCAACCATAATTCATCTCTCTCTCATTGTGTGTCGTATTCATTCACTCTCTTTTTGTATGTATTCAATGTCGCTCTCTGCAGTTAACATCAATATCGGACTTCAGATGTTTTGTACCATTATTGTAAGCATATACTAGTATTTATTCGAAGCTCGTTTTTTCCCTGCTTTTGTACCACGCAGAGCTGGACAAGTCAGGATTTTTGCAAGTCTCACTCAACGAAAAGATTCTTCAAGTCAGTCAAGTCTGACTTGACTTGGAATAGAGGCGTTTTTGTCTTGACTTGCCCAGCTCTGCATGGAAAACGACTCTACTTTGATCTCTAATATCATTTCTCTGTATTAAAAGAATGTACTTTTAAAATGACTTAAGAGACAGACAAAATTAGTAGTCGGTCAGAAGATCGGTAAAACCTTTTCCCGAGTCAAGTCTGCCTTGACTTGTCCAGCTCCGGTACCACGTTTATTGAAGCCTAAGAAAATACACGTATCAATTTCGCATAAATAATTCCAATGAAATATTGAATTTTTCTGCATGGATTGTAGAGATTAAATGGAAAAATCTATCTGTAATATACTTGCAGTTACTATCGATATACAGTCCGCAAGGAGAGCTTTACAAAACTACATAAAATCGGCTAGCTAGGAACCATAATTACAAAAGGTCTGATTGAGGAAATTGAGAGGTAGCCGAAATATGATCATCAAGTTTGTACGAAACCCCTTTTGCTAGGGTTTAATACGAAACCCGTTGTACGAAACCTTTTTTGTCAATAAAAAAATAGAGGTTTCGTAGCTGAACGCCGGAACCTAGGTTCGTAAACCCCCCCCCAGAATAGAAGGGCATGGCTTTCTCTTGTGTCCCGTCGGATCAAACTTTTTAGGGTGGCCTTCTATTAAGAGTGGCCTTCTAAACCGACCTCCTAGATAGAATTTTCTAAAAGT